CATTGCCTTCCCAGCTTAAGCTCTTATTGTTGTTGTTGCTGATAAACGATGTTCTGGGGTCTGTGGGTTTTATATATTCCTCAAACTAAGAGATTAGCTTCCAAATAAAGTTTAGTTTGCCTGATCTGCAGAAGTATGTAATTTGTATTTAGCAAAACAGAAATTTGATAGTAAACACATAGTTGGAAATGTCTCTTTTAATGCAAAGCAGATTTTACCTGAAAGAGTTTTTTAATCACTGGAATGTTTTAATGCCATTTGTGTACTACAGAGCTGTAAAATTATATGGACAAGTTTAGATGAGGAAGTTATTTTAGGAAGTAATGGCCTTACAGTTTCACAGCTGTCATTATTCTGTCCCCCTGTATGTGGGAATCAGTGAAATGCTGAACAGTGTTGTTCATTTCCTTCCCAAGGACATGAAGTGGATTGAGGAGAAGCAGGCATTGTACAGAAGAAATCAGGAACTGGTAGAAAAGGTACTCTACTTTTCTGTTTGTATTATTCAAATAATATTTGTGGCTTGAGGCACACAGAAGGTGCAATATTCTAACCTGTAGGGCACAGCCCTGCTGAAGTAGTTCATGTTTAGTATGAGATCCTTAAAAACCTGCCAGAAGTGGGGTTCTGGCCTTTCCCATGGGACACCAGTGTCCTGGTGCATGAGTGACATCCCAGTGCCACAGCAGTGTCCTGGTGCATGAGTGACCTGGGGACATCCCAGTGCCACAGCAGTGTCCTGGTACATGAGTGACATCCCAGTGCCACAGCAGTGTCCTGGTGCATGAGTGACCTGGGGACATCCCTGTGCCACAGCAGTGTCCTGGTGCATGAGTGACATCCCAGTGCCACAGCAGTGTCCTGGCACAAGGTGCATGAGTGACCTGGGGACATCCCAGTGCCACAGCAGTGTCCTGGCACAAGGTGCTGAGCAGCCTGGGCACAGGGCTGTCCCCAGGGTGGGCTCAGAGCACTGCTGCCCGCGGGGCTGAGCGCTCTGCCCTCCCCTCTGGCAGATAAAGCTGATGGAGGCGGAGGAGGCTCGCCTGAAACACGACGTGCAGGACGCCAAGGACCAGAACGAGCTGCTGGAGTTCAGGATCCTGGAGCTGGAGGTGAGCAGGGTGGCAGCCCCAGCCCGGGCAGGTGCTCTGCAGGGACAGGGGCTCCTGCCAGAGGAGAGCCACACGCACCAGGGGCACAGGCAGGGCTGGCAGGAGGGTGGAACGGGATGAGCTTCAGGGGCCCTTCCAACGCAGAGCATCCCCGGGTGCCATGCTGTGACACACCGAGGGGGTAACCCAGGCATTACTGTCCTTCCAGGAGAGGGAGAGGAGGTCCCCTGCCATCAACTTCCACCACGGCCCCTTCACGGAGGGGAAGAGCCCTCTGCAGGTGTACTGCGAGGCCGAAGGTGTAACAGTAAGGGACGCTCCTTTCCTGCCCTCCTCTCCCTGAGCAAAGCCAGGTGCTCTGTGCTGACTCCTGCTTCTCCATCTCTCTCTTGCCAGGACATTGTAGTAGCAGAGCTGATGAAAAAGTTGGACATTTTAGGGGATAACGCCGTAAGTGTATGTTCCTTTAATAAATTGTGCATGCTTTGGGGAGTACCTGTCCTGCTGTGGAGTGAGCAAAGCTGCCTGGTTTGGTGCTGCACAGCCTGTCCTGCTCTGCTTAAGGCCACGAGCAAAGCATTTTCTGGCATTTGAAGGTTTTGCTACCAGCTGAAGAGTGAAACGCAGGGGCTCGGTGTCACCATGGTGCTTCTGCTGTTCCTGTTATTTGGGGAATAATCTTGGTGTTTGGTGCTTTCTGGCCACTGGTCACACATGGTTTCTTGATTTGCCTGCTCTGCATTTGCTCTGCTTTTGCATTTCAGCAGCTGTGTGCTTTGAGTTTCTCTAATACCCCATTAACCCTTGAGAGTAACTGGGATATTAAGTGAGAAGTCAACACAGCAGCGTGAAAAGAAGCAAATGATAAGAAACTTGCAAGTGTTTCTCCTTCAGCAGGTGGCAGTGAGTAGCTGCACACACAGCTGTGCACATGGAAGGCACACACGTGCTGTGTCCCTGTGCTCTCCTCTGTCAGCACAGCCCCAGGGCTGTGAGGGGCCAAGGAGAGCTGAGCCCCTCTCCAGCCCGAGCTCTCAGAGCCCCCAGGACCCTCCTGGGGACCCCACCCAGCCCTGGGGCTGCAGAAGGGTCCCCTCTGTTCCCACAGCTCTGCCCCTGGGCTGCCCCAGCTCTCCCAGGTAAAACACCCCCCAGGACCATGGCACAACCTGGCACAGCCAGAACTGTCAATACCTGAGGGTGTGAGGCCCTGGCACAGGTGCCCAGAGCAGCCCCTGGATCCCTGGCAGTGCCCAAGGCCAGGCTGGACACTGGGGCTGGAGCAGCTGGGACAGGGGAAGGTGTCCCTGCCATGGCAGGGTGGGATGGGGGGGATTTGGGGTCCCTCTGACCCAGACCATGCCAGGATTCCCTGATGCAGTCCCTGCAGGACAGCACTGCCACGTCCCAGCCTGCAGCACCCTGCCCAGCACCTCCCCTGACTGACTCGGGGTCCCCACACAAGCGGGACCCAGGGCCCTTCTCCTGCTGCACCTCTGGTCACACTGAAGCCTGGGATGAAATGCACAGCCCAGTTCCTATACTTTGATTTATTTTTTTGAGAAAGCAACAAAAGATGGATGGAATAGCCAGATCTCAATAAATGCCTCCCAAAATCGTCACTTGGCTGCACAAAGTGAGGACGGTGCATGGGATGATCACTGCATCTCTTCTCCCCATGGCTCTTTGTGCTGAGCTTGATTTTGTCCTGTGTTTATGTGTGTTTATTCCCTGTTGGTGCAGGTAGATCCAGTGTCCCTTTTCTTTTCGGTAAACACAAGAATTTGGGAAGGATTATGTATGATAAGGATTGGTAACGAATAGTGACAATGGCTTTTACGATGATTTTACATTACAGTATTAATTTTCTCTGCCTCAGTTTATTGTTCCTCAGAAATATTTAACTTCAGATGTATTTGAACAGCAGTGGCCAAGTAGCAGGTTAGTAACAGGAGCCTGGGATTTGTTGTAATTGTGCTCTGCTTTTTGGTGCAGAATCTGACCAACGAAGAGCAGGTGGTCATCATCCAGGCCAGGACTGTCCTCACGCTGGCTGAAAAGGTAACAGCACCTCTTTGTGCCTGAGAGCATCCCTGCTGAGGGAGGGGACAGCTGCCCCCAGAGCCGTGGAGCTGCAGCTGGGCTGGGCTGTGTCCCAGCTCGGGGCAGGGCAGCAGAGCAGGCAGACTGTGAAATCTTCCTGAGCTCACCAAGCCGGGTCAGGGGGAAGGGACAGCCTTTGCAACTGGGCTCTGCAGCAGACAGAAAACCAGCACAGTGCTCTGGTTAGTTCTGCTGTGTGGTTTGTGCTGTGAGGGCTGGCAGTGCCCAGGTGCCAGGGCAGGCTGGGCTCAGGCTGGGCTCTGCTCTCTGCTCCTCAGTGGCTCCAGCAGATCGAGGTGACCGAGTCTGCCCTGCAGCAGAAGATGCTGGACCTGGAGAACGAGAAGGTACCGGGGAGGGCCAGGGAGGGCTCAGGGCCCTGGGGCTGGTCACTGACAGCCCCTTGCTTGGTCCCCAGGAGCTGTTCAGCAAGCAGAAGGGCTACCTGGACGATGAGCTGGACTTCAGGAAGCAGTCCCTGGACCAGGCTCACAAGGTGAGGGTTGCCAGTGGTGGCTGAGTTAGGACAGCTGGATTAGCTCACTAATCCATGTGTGCTCTGTGGAAACTCTGCCTCGGGCAGTGCTGCTGTGGAGTGTCCCCATGGCACGAGAGCTCAGCAAATCCTCTCCCTCAGCTAGCCACAACTTCCTCATGAACAGAATTCCTGGGTTCCAGTGGCCCTTGCAGGGTTAGGACCTGAACACTGACTTACTCAGCACGACTTTAAATTCAGCCAAAGTTTCAGTAAAGGACCAATAAGGAAATCAGGTTTTCAGTAATTTGTCTTACATTTTAAAAAAAGATATTTTGGCCTAGGCAAATCCAAGGATTTTGGATTACACTCTCTGTAACCAGAGCAGCTGGAAGTATAAATATGAAATGAAACTGCTTTTAAGTCAGGTTCAGCATTAGCTGATCCTATGGCATTTCACCCATCTTTGCAGCCAGCAGCTGTCTTGTTTCCATCAATGAGAGAAAGGTTATATATATATATATACCCACAAAAGGCATAAAGCTTCCTCTCAGTTTATCTCATTTTTCCAGTTCTACATAAACCTAGAGCTCAGTTACACTTTCTGAGCAGCAATGAGTATTTATGCCTCTGTTTCTCTATTTCTCTGTTTACACATCCTGTTGTCTACTTGTGTCTTGGACCATTTGGGGGAGCTTTTGCTCCATACATTTTCTGTCCTGTGGGTGATTTTTAGGACTGATTTTGTGGAATTTTGAGCTGTATCTTGGAAACCTTGGGAAGCACACAAGCCCCCTGAGCTGTGGTCTCAGCCCTGGAACACCCCTCAGTGGAATTTCCCTGCCCAGGGGATGGAACAGGATGGCCTGTAAGGGCCAGGCTGGGGCTCTGTGTTTCCATCTGTCAATTTGTGTCTGCTCACGGGCAGCCCTGAGTGCAGAGTGTGCACAGGCACAGGGGGCTGAGGGTTATTTACATTTTCCTGTGTTTTCTGAAGGCACCACACACGTGTCCCAGGCACAGCTTTGCTCCAGGGCACAAATGCAGCCCGAGAGCAGCAAAGGAAGCTTTGTTCTGCCCTGGAATTGGAGTGGAAAAAGCTCCTTTGCTTTATAAAATTCACTTCACTCCCACATTTCCTTTGTGCCCCTGGAGATGAGGAGCAGCTAATCGTGATCCCCCTGGGGCAGAGCCAGCATGATTAGCAGGCAGAAGCACTGACTGCAGGGTCACCAGTTCTCACAGGTCTCACCAGTTCTCACCAGTTCTCACCAGTTCTCACCAGTTCTCACCAGTTCTCACCAGTTCTCACCAGGTCTCACCAGTTCTCACAGTTCTCACCAGTTCTCACCAGTTCTCACCAGTTCTCACCAGTTCTCACCAGGTCTCACCAGTTCTCACAGTTCTCACCAGTTCTCACCACTTTTCACCAGTTCTCACCAGTTCTCACCAGTTCTCACCAGTTCTCACCAGTTCTCACCAGGTCTCACCAGTTCTCACCAGTTTTCACCAGTTCTCACCAGTTCTCACCAGTTCTCACCAGTTCTCACCAGTTCTCACCAGTTCTCACCAGTTCTCACCAGTTCTCACCAGTTTTCACCAGTTCTCACCAGTTCTCACCAGGTCTCACCAGTTTTCACCAGTTCTCACAGGTCTCACCAGTTCTCACCAGGTCTCACCAGTTCTCACCAGTTTTCACCAGTTCTCACAGGTCTCACCAGTTCTCACCAGTTCTCACCAGGTCTCACCAGTTCTCACCACTTTTCACCAGTTCTCACCAGTTCTCACCAGTTCTCACCAGTTCTCACCAGTTCTCACCACTTTTCACCAGTTCTCACCACTTTTCACCAGTTCTCACCAGTTCTCACCAGTTTTCACCAGTTCTCACCAGTTCTCACCAGTTCAGCAGCTGCTGCTCTGCTGGGAGCATTCTGCTCTCTGGCTCTGCTGGGACCCAAACACCAGCAGCAGCCTCAGCTGTGGTTTTGAATTGAGCTGAATGACCCCAGCAGACCCAGTGGGGATTTAAAGGCTGTGTGGATGTGGCACCTGGGGACAGGGGTTGGTGATGGCCTTGGCACTGCTGGGGGACTTTGAGGGCTTTTCCAGCCTCAACAATTCCGTGATTCTGTTGCAGTGGGGCTCTCTTGAGGCCATGGAAAGCTTTGCAAGATGCCACCAGCTCAGGGAGGGGTGTGCAGAGGTGCCACCAGCTGCTGCCTTTTCTCCTGCTCTGGATCAAACTGGAATAAATTTCAGCTCGCTCTGGGCTTGCCTGGGGGAAGAGCCTTTATCCTGAGTTCCAGGAGGGAGCCAGGCTCAGTGGCCAGGGCAGCGTGGCCAGTCCATTCCTGCATTCCATTCCTCTCCATCTGGGTGAGCCCAGAGGAGCAGAGCTACAGGACAGGGTCATTTCCTTGGCACAAACCCCCTTGGAGCTGCCAGCTCTGCCACAGGAGGGGCTGGGAATGTCTTCCCATGAGACATTTTCCACTGGATGCTACAAAATGCTGCACACACACGGCAGGGAGGTGTTCCTTCTGGCAGGAGCATGGACTGGTGCTGCTGCAGGATAGCTGGGAAAGGGCAGCTGAAAAATGCATGTACAAAACATCTGTCACTCACAAAATGAGTCTTTTATGAACCTCTTTCCTTTTTCCCTCTTCCTATTTACATTTTTCCCTCTCCCTTCTTCCTTTCCCCCTTCCTTTAGTTTTTTTCCTTTTCCCTCCTCTCCCCACGGCCACCTCCCATCCCCAGGAAGGAGAAGGTGACTCCCCTGTGTTTGTGGGGCAGCTAAGCTGGGCCCAGAGGCTGTCCCGGTTCCAGTGCTGCTGGAGCCCCATGGGATGAAGGCAGCCTGCAGGTTTTTCCCTCTGGATGGAGTTTTCCTTGCTGTGCTGTGGGGGAGGCTCAGCCCTCTGCTGCTCCCGTTGCCTTTCAGGGTCGGATGTTCAGTTCCTCACAAACTCCTCACCCAACCAGGGACAAGGTCGAGCTGACAGATTTATATTGTTTTTGATTAGCAAATTCTGGAATTAGAAGCCATGCTCTATGATGCCCTGCAGCAAGAAGCTGGAGCCAAAATTTCCGAACTTCTTTCAGAAGAGGAGAAGGAGAAGCTGAAGAGCGCGGTGGAGCAATGGAAGCGGCAGGTGATGAGTGAGCTCCGCGAGAGGGACGCACAAATCCTGCGGGAGAGGATGGAGCTCATTCAGCACGCACAGCAGGTGGGTGTGGGGCAGGGCCTGGCAGCACCAGCCTCTCCTGGAGCTGTCCCAAGCTGGGACAGGGGCTTTGGATGTCCCTGCACACGGGCATCGTGCCTTTCCTGGCTTTGTCACACACGGGGACAGTCACAGAGGAGTCACCTACAGCTTAATGCCCGATTTATTCTTGGTAGAAGCACAGCACATACAATGTATATCCCCCAAACTAATGCATCTTCTGGGTACATCTGTATTTGGTTGGTTAATAAATATTTTTTTATTTGAAATCTGACAGAGAATTAAAGAGCTAGAAGAAAGAATTGAAGGCCAAAAAAGACAAATAAAAGAGTTAGAGGAAAAGGTAAGGTGATGCAGATGAACAGCTGCTGTGTGTGCACATGACCATTCTCCATCTCACCTGGGCCAAGGAAACAACCTTAGAGAGAGCTCGTGTGTGTAGTGCCGTGAGACAGGGGGACAGCTCCAGGAAAAGAGTTTCCATTTGCACCAGTCCCTCTGAGCAGGGGAGGTGAACTGGTTAAACTGGGTTAAATGGAGTCCTTCCTTCCTGCTACCCTTGGGTGCAGGACTGGGCAGGGGCAGAGCCGAGGGCTCAGGCAGCAGAGCTCTGGGGAAGGAGCTGGGGGTTTTGCTCCCTCCTTCCCTCCCCTGACAGCCCCTGGACATGAGTGCATGGAGCAGCTTTTCCCAGCAGGAACAAGGGGCTCTGCTCTCCTCCCTCAGCTGTGGCTGCTGCTGTGGAGCTGTCACAGCCCAAAGTGCTCAGTGTCCCACCCCAGAGTGCCCTGACCCTGACCCTAATCCTGACCCTAACCCTAATCCTGACCCTGATCCTCACCCTGACTGTAATCCTGACCCTAATCCTAATCCTGACCTTAATCCTGACCCTGACCCTCACACTCACCCTAACCCTGCCCCTGCCCCTGACCCTAACCCCTAACCCTAATCCTAACCCTAATCCTAACCCTAATCCTAACCCAAAACCCTAATCCTAACCCTAATCCTAACCCTAACCCTAATCCTAATCCTAACCCTAATCCTAATCCTAACCCTAACCCTAACCCTGCCCCTGACCCTAACCCCTAACCCTAATCTTAACCCAAAACCCTAACCCTAATCCTAACCCAAAAGCCTAACCCCTGCCCCTGCCCCTGTCCCTGTCCCTGTCCCTGCCCCTGCCCCTTCAGGGGGATGGCCACGCTCGGGTGCAGCAGGGCTGAGCTGGAGCAGCACCTGAGACAGCCCAGACCCCAGCAGGGCTGGGTGCCGGGGTTTGGAGGTGTCAGGAGAATTCAGCTGATGTTTCCCCCCGTTTCCCCTGAGCCCTGGCTGAGGCTGGCTGGGCTCAGAGGGGCAGGGGATCCCTGGCACCAGCCCAAGGGACATGGGAGCTCTGGTGAGCCAAGCTGAGCCCCGAGCACTCGGACTTCACTTCACACTCCATATTTCTTCTCACCTGAGAGTTCTGTTGCACTCTGTCTGTAACCACAGCTTATTTCTCAGTTAAACACACTGTAAACTCTTAATCTCTTTCTTCTCTTCCATTTTTTCCTCTCTTCTCTCCCCTTTTCAGTTTTTATTTTTGTTTTTATTTTTCTCTTTAGCTTTCATTCTTTGGTCATAGTTCTTCAGGCCACATGCACAAGGTAAGCCCTTGGGTCTCCTCTGCTCTCTCCTCTTCTCCTCATGAAGCATCAGAACCTTCCTTTTGCTGTATCAGCAGGATTGAAGGGTCTCTTGGGCATCCCAGAGAATGCCTAAATGGAAATCTCCAAATCCTTTTAAAAAAAGTGAACCTGGACACCAACAGGCAAAAACTTGCCAAACAGAATTTCCTTCTTTAGAGGAGGAAAAAATAAGACAAGGAAACATTAAGCAGGCTTAAAAGCAAGGAAACCTCTATCAAGGCAGGGCAAACAGCCAGTGTGGGGTGATTCCTCTGCCTGCATCAGGGGCTCCTCAGCTGGAGGCCCATGGAAATCCTCCCTGCACAGCTGGAGAGCCTGTCCTGCCCCCAGGACAGCAGCCAGCTGGGTTTGGGGGAACATGGCATTTCTTAGGGTGTGTTCCTCCAGGCATTGTGCCATAGGGCCCCAGGGGCTCCCTGAATCCCCTTTTCCCATGTAAATAAATTGCCTTATTTCTGTGTGTGCTGCCAGAAATGACCACAGCATGGATGGCCTGGAGGGAAACACTCCCCATAACAACATAAATGGAATGACCACAGCATGGATGGCCTGGAGGGAAACACTCCCCATAACAACATAAATGGAATATATCACAAATCCTTTTTTATCAGTGTACAGTTCAGCAGATAATTATGAACAGGAGCTGACAGAAGTTTTGTGAATGTTATTTTTGCCCAGTTGGGCTTTTCTTTGATTCCTGTTTCTCTCTTGTTTCAGCTGGGCTTTTCTTTGATTCCTGTTTCTCTCTTGTTTCAGCCCCCTGAGGCCACTGCAGCTGCTCCTGCTGTTCTTCCCGGAGGGACAGCCCTGCTTCCCAAGCCCCACACGGACACTTTGCCCTTTCCACACCCCCAGATGTGTCTCATCCTCTGCTGCTGGCCATGGGAGGTGCAGGCTGTGGCACTTGGGGGCTGTGAGAGCCCCAAAATCCCCCCAGGGGGATTGCAGAGGACAGAACTGAGCCAGCAGGGCAAGGCAAGAGCTCTGCTCCTCCTGTCCCGGAGCTGGCCAGGCTCTGGCAGGGGCACACCACTGATTCAGATACCCTGAATTGATTCCCATTCCCTGCTAAGCAGGTGGCAAATTGCTTCTGTGCAGAAGTGCCCGTGTCCTGTTCGTATGCCACACGTGTTTGTTACCCACAGCTCTTCAAAAATCTGTCCTGAAAGAAGATTGTAGGAGGTGTTCCAGAGGAGTAGCTCGTGAAAAGATGAATATGAATGAAAATGATGAAAATGAATGAAAATGATGAAATGGAATGAAAATGATGAAAATGAATGAAAATGATGAAAATGAATGAAAATGATGAAATTGAATGAAAATAATGAAAATGAATGAAAATGAACGAAAATGAAGTGGTTTGTTCCAAGGTATTTCTTCGTTACACAGGGTATGTCCTGTGCTTTGTTGAATATCCCACAAGCCCAGTTTTAGGAAAAACCTTAAAGCAACATTCAGGAAATTCAAGCTGTACTTTTTTTATTTTTTTTAAATTGTCAGTAAACCATGATGAGAAAATTGATGCAATAATTTATAATTGGCTGTCCCTGAACAACAACAAAAGGCTTAACACTGTCCCACACCTGGAAAAGAGTGAACTAAAGCAGATTATCCCTGATCCACGTGCACTGGGCTGGGAGAGGCAGCAAGAGGGAGCAGAAGCTGTTGTCACCTGGAAAATGTCCTCACCTCAGGAAGGGGAGCACAAGTCCCACAGAGCCCGGGAGGCTGGCACAGCAACCAGGGAGGAAAAAATCCTCCAGGAAAACAGGTGAAGAGGGGAAAACCCAGGAGAAATTCCAGAGTGTGACTGACCCCGTGGGATCTCAGCCAGGCACAGCAGTGTGGGGCCAGGCACGAGGAACCAGGAGTGAGATGCTGCTGGCAGCCAAGGTCCCGTTCCCCAGGAGCACAGGGCAGGGAGGGATCCGAGCTCTGGGCAGGTAAGGTGGGCTGCTCACTGGAAACCCCTTTATCCTGGCATTCTGTGAGCTCTGCAACTCCCTTACCTGCTGGTCCCTCTCACTTGGGTTAAAATACTTCAGGGGGTAACAGAGGAAATACTGAATTTGGTATTGAAATTACCAGAGTCTTTATGTAAACATTCTTTAATTATTGCTGTTCTACTGCAGTAATTTAGGTGTTACATTTCAGAGGGATACAGTAACAAATGCTGGCTTTATTTTGAGCAGCATTTATTTTATTTTGTTGATTTATTTGATTTATTTATTTTGTGTGAGCTCAGGCACTCAGGGAATGATTTCCTCTGCAGGGGCACTAATGAGCTCCAGCAGTAAAATGCTAATTGGCGAGTCTTTGCTGTGCAGGGTGACCCCAAACATCCTTGTTTGAAGTGAGGTGTGGGGGAGATTCAGGCCTTCAAGGAGACTGCCACTGAGCAAAGGCATCCCTGGGAAGGCACAGAGGGATCAGGAGCTCTCACTCCCTTTCAGTGAGCTGTAAATGCTGCAGGTTTCTCTCCCGTGCAGAGCAGGGTTGGGCTCAGCAATAATGAGGAGATTTCCAGCGGGTTAATACTTGTCAGTTTGTATAAAAGCGTGGGGTGTCTCCTTGCAGAGCGTTTCTGCTGCGCTGTCTCAGGGGCTGCTGCAGACTGAAATGCAGGGAAATGACAATGTCAGTCTGAATTTGTGGCTGAGGCAGGATGAGATGGAGGCCCTGGGGCAGGAGAGCCTGGCTGGCTGCTGCTGGACGAGGCTGCAGCCAGCTCTGAGCTCGCTCATCCCCCTGCTCAGCCCAGACATCTCTGGCTCTGCAGGAGCTGCTCCTTCACGGTTTTGCCAAATCCCAGGGGAGAACACTTGGACACAGAGCAGCTGGGGCTTTCCTTCTAAGCAAAACATCTGGTTCATTACAGCAGGAGCTTTTGGGCAGGGTGTGGGACCAGCCTTTCATTTATCCTCTCTACAAGTGAAGAACTCCCACTGCTGTGTTGCTGCAGGGGTGTCACACAGCACAGAATCCCAGAGTGGTTTGGGTTGGGAGGGACGTTCAAGGTCATCTCACTGCCCCCCTGCCACGGGCAGGGACACCTCCCAGTATCCCAGCTCGCTCCAAGTCCCATCCAGCCTTCCCTCAAAGCGTTTCTATGGGTGTTCCTATTTCTGTGGGAAGTAGAGAAGAGCTTTTTTGGAGTGTGAATTTGTGCAGCAGCAGCAGTTTGGTGTCCTGGGTGCTTCCCCCTCAAGACCACAGTGCCTTCCATCCTCAGAAAGAAAACTCCACTGGGATTGGCAGGGTGAAAGCCTGCTCCACCAAGCTGGTTTTAAAGATAATCATTTATTTCACCTTTCATTCCCCAAAGCACTCCTGGGCAGAGCAGCTTCAGTCCTCATCACAGCTGAAGGGTTCCCCTCCTTCATTTGGGTCTTGCTGAGCTCTTGCAAATAATGACAGGAATTTTTGTAGTTTACCAAACCCAGTGTTAGCCTGAAGAATCACTCAGCTAGAAAATCTATCATAAAGTTAGCTTTTTTAAAGAATGCATTCTGTTTGTAAAGTAAGGTTTGTGCAAATGGCCCCTGCCGAGGAGGGGGTTGGGGTGCCCAGTGATATTTCTGCAGTTCCAGGTCAGCAGAAATCCCAGAGAAAGCTCCCCAGGAAAGGAGAACCTGTCCAAGTGCGCTGGCCTGATGCAGATGTGCTGCAGCAGATGGAAACGCTGTTCTGTCAATGGCTTTGTGTGAAGACAATCGCCAGGGGGGCTCTTTGCTCCTTGTTATAAACGAGGATGCTGTGAACATCCCTGGGTACAGCAAATCGGGGCTGTCCCTGCCGGAGGGGACTGTGAAACCCTCACATCCTCAAATCCAAGCCACAGTTCTCCCCTTCTCACACACACCTGGAGAATGGGAACAGCTGGAAATTCATCAGGAGCCAGGTTCTGACAGGGCTCTGTGCGGCTGTTCCCAAAAGCTGCTGCGGAGAGGTGGGGCAGGGTGTTCCTGCAGGGTGTTCCTGCAGGGTGTTCCTGCAGGGTGTTCAGCAGGGTGTTCAGCAGGGTGTTCCTCCTGCAGGGTGTTCAGGGTGTTCAGCAGGGTGTTCCTGCAGGGTGTTCCTGAAGGGTGTTCCTCCTGCAGGGTGTTCAGCAGGGTGTTCCTGCAGGGTGTTCAGCAGGGTGTTCCTGCAGGGTGTTCAGCAGGGTGTTGAGCAGGGTGTTGAGCAGGGTGTTCAGCAGGGTGTTCCTGTGAGGTGTTCAGCAGGGTGTTCCTGCAGGGTGTTCAGCAGGGTGTTCCTCCTGCAGGGTGTTCAGCAGGGTGTTCCTGCAGGGTGTTGAGCAGGGTGTTGAGCAGGGTGTTCAGCAGGGTGTTCCTCCTGCAGGGTGTTCAGGGTGTTCAGCAGGGTGTTCCTGTGAGGTGTTCCTGCAGGGTGTTCCTGCAGGGTGTTCCTGCAGGGTGTTCCTGCAGGGTGTTCCTGCAGGGTGTTCCTGTGAGGTGTTCAGCAGGGTGTTCCTGCAGGGTGTTCAGGGTGTTCAGCAGGGTGTTCCTGTGAGGTTTTCAGCAGGGTGTTCAGCAGGGTGTTCAGCAGGGTGTTGAGCAGGGTGTTCAGCAGGGTGTTCCTGCAGGGTGTTCAGCAGGGTGTTCAGCAGGGTGGGGTGGTGCTGTCACCTGGAGCCCCGTGTTCCTGTGGGGTGGGACCAGGGCTGGTGTCCCCCCAATGCCACCTCCGGGAGCAGCTGCAGGGGAGGCTGAGGTGTCAGCCTGCATTTGCTGCCTCACCTGTCCTGGTGACCTGCTCCCCCTGAACTGTCCCTGAACCGTCCCTGAACTGTCCCTGGACTGTCCCTGAACTGTCCCTGAACTGTCCCTGCTGAACTGCTCCCCCTGAACCATCCCTGAACCGTCCCTGAACTGTCCCTGAACCGTCCCTGAACTGTCCCTGAACTGTCCCTGGACTGTCCCTGAACCGTCCCTGAACCGTCCCTGAACTGTCCCTGCTGAACTGCTCCCCCTGAACTGTCCCTGAACTGTCCCTGAACTGTCCCTGAACTGTCCCTGAACTGTCCCTGGACTGTCCCTGAACCATCCCTGAACCATCCCTGAACCATCCCTGAACCGTCCCTGGACTGTCCCTGGACTGTGTGAATCCAGAGGGAGAGGAAGGGGAAAAGGCAAGGAGGCCAAGTCTGCCCCACTGTTCTGTACATGGACATGCAATTCCACCTGTTTACTCTCAACGTGGGGCATGAGTGGGAAGATGAGGGATTCTGCATTCCCACCTCGTGGGGGCTTCTGGGGTCCCAGGTGAGGATGGGATCCAGCCCCCGAGGCCACGGTGTATGCTCAAGGGCTCTCTGATCCGCTCTTTCCCATCACATGGATCCCAGGGAGTGATTCATTGTCCCACTGACACCTCCCAGGCAGCAGCCAGGTCCCCAAGGTGTGTCCCAAGCTGGATTCCAGGCTGGATTCAAGTTTAGCAGGTGATGAAGAACCTCAGGCTCATCCAGGCAGACTCTGGGGAGAGAGGGCTGAGCTGCCTTAGAGACACCTCCAGCATGGCTTCACCTGCTGCTAACTCTGCTCAAGGGTCAGTGAGGCATTAACTTGGCCAGTCCAAGAGCTGTCTGGTGGTTTTGGTGCCTTTTCCTTACTCCCCAAACGTGTCCCACCTTTTCCCAGCAGCCCAGGATGCTGTCAGGTGCCTCCCTCAGGCATATGATCCCTTGTGATATATCTAAATAAATGCATTTATATATAAATCAGCATGTAAATATCTAGATAAAGACGAATGTGTAAATATGCATCTCCTTCCTTGGAGCCTTGCTAAGAGGCTGAGCTGATGAAGGTGATCATTCTTCATCAACTGTCGTGACAGGACAAAGAGTAATGGGTTCAAACTGAAACAGGGGAAGTTTAGCTCAGACATTTGGAAGAAATTCTTCCCTGGCAGGGTGGGCAGGCCCTGGCACAGGTGCCCAGAGCAGCTGGGGCTGCCCCTGGATCCCTGGCAGTGCCCAAGGCCAGGCTGGACATTGGGGCTGGAGCAG